AGTGTTTAATGCTCTCTATCTAATAGCAGAGAGTACTTTCTAAATACCTTTATAGTTAGCACAGCTTAGCGTTTTGCTTACTATAATACTCTATTAGGTTGTTAGTTCTATTAAACTATAGTTCTGCACTAGTATACGTTCTAAATATACTATTATAGTGTTATGTTAATCTAGCTAGCTTAGCATTTTATTGTACTTCTAATGTTACTATTCTAGATATTAGTTAAATTAGTGTTTTCTAGTATTTCTAAGTAGTTACTTTGTCTGCGCGATTATCTTATCTAATATTACTTAGTAGTAAGAACGTAGTTAGCCTAAACACAACTACTATTATAGTTCTAGCTAATCTAAAGAAAAGAGCTAAGTCTATACTTATTATATTTATTATAGTTATTGTTACTATATGCGTTACATTAATGCATGCTAACTACTTCTTATACTACGTAGTAGAATACATCTCTATAGGCTTTGCTATTTATATAGGTATTAGAGAGTATAAAGATATATTACTACAAGAACGTAAAGTAATTAGCATAGGTAAGAAAGTATATAGACGTTAGTTTAGTAGAAAAGAGTTCTATTATATAGAGATTCTATTATCTAAAGTATTATACAAGAGTCTAATACTAAAAAGTATAAGTAAAAGATAAAATAGTTAATAATAAGATAATTCTAAAGAGCTCTTATTAAAAGACGTTCTCTCTCTAGGTAATTCTTAGGTTGTTAAAGATCTAATTTATATAAGAACACCTTGTGCACTAGCATAATATAATTTTATTTTTTTAATTACTTTTTAAATCTAACTTTAATTTATAAAGTTATAATATATTAAAGATATATTATTATAGAAGTAGAATATTATATAAACCTATATACTATATATACTAGTAGTACTTCTTAGCTAAGTAATCTTTATATTAAGAATTATATATACTATAATAGATAAATATTAGTATCTTTTATAACTTTTATAATAATATCTAAATATTATACTTTTAGCTACTATCTACTAAGAGCTATTAATAATATATAGCTTACTAAATATATTCTAATAATCTTACTATTTATATAGAGAAACTACTAGAATATATATTATTAACTTTAGATTAACTTTTTAATCTATAGTTTTATTTCTCTAGCTCTAGCTTTCTTTCTAGTCTACTTATATTCTTATAGATATATATTAGCTATTTTATAATAATATACGTACTACTATACTAAGATATACTTTAGACTATTATTTTATAACTTAATATTATAATACTAGCTTATAAATAGATAAGATATAAAGAAATATATAGAATATATTACTATAAACTTATTAGATATATATTATAACTTTACTTATAAAGTTTCTAAAAATTATACTTTATTAGTATTTTTTATTTTATTACGCTCTCTAAGGTTTAATTCTCTTACTACTACTTTAGCTAATTTTTTTCTTTTTTTATAATTCTTTTTCTTTATTTTATTTAATTTTATCTTATCTAATTACTAATTATAAAACTTTTTCTAAAATTTTCTATAGAAAGTAAAGTACTAGTTTACTTTCTTCTTAGCTTTACGCTAATAGTGTTCTTTCTTATTCTTAGTATTATAGAATTCTAGATTACTATTCTTTTTAAAAAGATAGTAGATAGTTTTAGATAGCTATATATTAATAAAGTACTAGTAATAGCTTTTATTCTTAGCTTTAGTATATTTATAAGCACTATATCTATCTAAGTAACTAAAAAATAGAAAGAATATAAAAAAGGTATAAAGTCTAAGAGCTAGTATACTACTAATAAAGATAAGATAAATATTTATAATAGAGTTTGTCTAAAATATTATATATAAGTATATAGAAGAATTATTAATTTTAGAGTAAGAGAAAGAAAGATTATAAGAAAGTAGGTAGTTTTCTAGTTCTATCTAGGTAACTAGAGTCTCTAACGTAAGCTACGCTGTACTTAGTTATACTAGATAGCTTAGCTATTTAGACAAATTGTTTATTAATCTCTGTACAGTAAGTAACGCTACCTTAGCCTAACTAATATAGGTTAGTAGATTATCTAAGATAATCTACTATAGATTACAACTTGTAAATATATATAGGCTGTTGCGGAAGTGCGTATACACTATCTACTGTTTCTCGAGATATGTGCGCAGCAAGGCGAGCGACGCGATGCGACGCGACAGCTCACACCTTCTTCACTATCCAAACCTGCGCCAGGTATGCGTAGCGCGTCAACGCTCTCCGGTTGAACCCGTACTCTGCCTCTTTACTCCGAACCTTCTTGCCCTCGAACGTCAGGTCGCCGCACTCGTCGCCCAGATCCTCGAACTCAAAGCCCATCTCTTCAACAACGTCGACAATCTCCTCCAAGCTCAGCTGCACGAAAGGCCCGGTGCCGTACAGGAGTGGGCCGAAGTTGATCCATTTACCACCGGGCTTCAGTAGCCTCTGGATAGTGTCGAAATAGGCCATGAGGTTGCGCGCCGTGTCGATGAAGAAATGGGTGACGATGATGTCGTAGTGACCTGGTTGATCGTTGAATGCGGTGTTGAAGTCGCCCTCGACGAGCAGAACACCAGGGTTGGGGGCGATGTTGGGCACCGTTACACTCCGGGTCATGTCGGCCTTCGTAGCATGGTGCGACATTCCGTCGATGAATGGGTGTATGGTCACCGCGTGCGCATCCTTTTGCGCTTCCATGTACCGGTAGCCGACGTTCATGAACATCGACCACTCATTGATCGTGACCTCGAAGCCTGTCTCTGCGTCAGTCGACGCTCTTCTGCTTTTGCGCGCGACACTTACCTCCGAGATTGGCGACATCATGGCCTAGCCGGCCGACCCCAGAGCCTGGAAGCAGTACCTTGAGCGGTGCGCTCTCGCCTGACTCGGCTTTGATGGCGCTCAATGTGCTCAGTATGCATGGGAACGCTTCGTTTCTTTCTTTGAGACCTTCGTCGGCCCAGTCGCGTACGTAATGCTTCAACGTTTGGGCTGTTGCGAACTTGTCTGCTTGGCGCTTGTCCTGCTCTGCCTTCTTCATGTGCTCGTTCAGTTCTTCCTGGCCGATGCCATAGAACTTCATGGCGTGCATTGCTATAATCTTGGATACTGCTGCATTCACGTAGATGAGCTCTTCGAGTTCATCGAGCTTCTTCGTGTAGCCGACGGTGTTCTCCAATGTCTGCTTCATTGTGAGCGACTGGTATCACAACGCGCACGTGCGACCGACCTTCTTCTGCTTCTTGCTGACGCTCTTGTACATACTCCGCCAGCGATCCAGCTCAGCCATGTGGCGTTCGCGGTACCTCGTATATGCCCATAGCGCTTCGAGGAGCCTGTAACGCGGGTGGCTCGTTCCCCATTCACCGCTCCTCGTGTCCATTCTCTTCAGCAGCTGTAGCTTCTCCCGTCGGTGGCGGGGCGAGGCGCCGTTGTCGCTTGGTGGCATCGCACCCATCATCAAAGGATCTTGCGCGGCTTGCGCATTGTCCATAGCGATGTGGACTTCGTCGGCGTTCGGTGTGTTGCTAGTGGCATGGGCTTGGCTTTCTCCGCTAGGTGTTCCAGCATTAGCCAGAGCTACTGAGCTGAGGCCTGCGATGAACAGCAGCAAGGATGACTTCATCTTCCATGCGACCAGGGCACGCGACTGTTCCGGATCGATGGCCAGACGCGGAGTATCGCAATTCGAGTTTTGCAGCTGAGTACCGTGCTGGCGCCAAGCGGGTCTCGACGTTACGCGTTAGATACCGCATATTGTGGGGTGTAGTTCGCGAAAGCAACAATCCCGAGAAGAGCGTTTTATACCGTCGCTATGCCATGCCCATGACGCAACGTAGGAAGACGATAACATGGGCTGCTTTCCATGCCCATGCTTGACGGTATGCCTCTCGTGAGGGCTTACAGGCGTGGCGTCGATTAACATGTCGGGGAGCGGCTTTGAGTGTGAACTCATTGTCGGTATCAATTGCTGTTGAATGCGACCTCATGTTTATGAGGGTCAAGGGCGCGCCTGCATGCACCGGCGCGGAAGACGCGTAGAAGGTGCACGAGCCATCGCCGGAGCCACCCGTCGAGGTCTCCTTGGCGGGTCACTCCGCAACTTTGACACTCTGAAAGAGCACGCAGTCTTCAGCCATCCTCAAACCAGGGTCCTACGACGGTGGATTCCTCTGACTTCGTTCACGGCAGGTCGCCTCTTTGGACGTTGCGCGACAGTTGCCTACGGTCTCGATCGACAGGAGGCTCTTGGAGATAACGTCATCGTACGGAACACGCATTCCACGAGGGTCATTCATCCGCCGCTCGGTCGATACCAAACACGATGTCGACAGTTCACTCTTACCTCTTCGGCCATCACGCTTCCTCTGTTCCCTTAGTACCAGGGCCTCCTTCTTAGAGACGAAGGCGAGGTATATCGTTGAAGGTTAGAAGATCGACTGCGACATAACGCCGGTCAGCGCGATAGTCATCATATAACCCAGCGTTTTCCTGTTGGAATACACGCAGCATCGGGCTATCTAGCATACTGAACCGCTAGCTTGCTGTCAGTCCCTCGCTCCAAACCGAATGTTTGCAAAAGCGCGCCATCATTGGTCGCCCCAGGGATGTTCATTCCTCGATTGAGCCAGTAGAAAGGTAAGAGACTCAAATGCGTTTCACCGTGCGAGGTCCGAGCCTTGCGCGTCAATTCATGGACATATCCGCATGCTGTTACAACCGGGATTTAGCATCGTTCGCTTGAAGAAGGGAAGCAATCAAGTGGTTGCGCATCATTAAACACCACGACGAGATTGTTTGCGCAGTTCCGTGAAGAGGAAAAGACTCATAACAGCACCGAACGTCATGCCATATCCTCAAAAGTTAGATTACTGAGTGAAGTGTCGACGTGTTTGGATCCGTGCGGACTCACCTTCACTGCGACTTTCGCTTAGCAAAGCGCGACAACGGCCATAACACTCTGCAACCCGTTCCCCTCCACTCACTCTACTTCCCCCAGATGTCATCCGCACCACCAAAGGAAGCGCCTGTCAACGCTAAAGATATCGACATGGCTCGTCTCAGCGCTAACGCGACACCGAAAACCGATCGCAAGCCGAGCCGCTTCCGCGGACTATTCAGACAGCAGTCCAGCTCGAGCGCATCGTCCAGCCCCGCTACCCTGCAGAAGTCGCCTCCGCCCGTCGCTTCTAGCCCGTTGGCGTCGCCATATGTGCGCCCAGGATACGAACAAATCGGTCTCCTACCCAGCGAGCAGTCCATGCACAGTCTACAGGGACTTGGTGAGACCGAGATCGGTGATGGTGAGACGATTGGCTCTACAGCAGTTGAAGGTGCCTCTCCAAACCGCCGTGCTGAGGAAGCAGGCCGTGATTCCGTTGAATCTGAGGTCGCCAAAAGCCAGGATACCTGTCCACGTACAGCTGGTGATGCAGACAAGCGAAGCGGGTTGCCATTGGGTTCTTCCCACAAGATCGCAGAGGCCATGGACAGTAAGTGTCTACCCAGGGTGCCTTGGTACAGCATGCTGACATCGGAACAGAGGAGAACAGCAGCCATGTCAAAGATGCATGGTTCGCGGACTCCGCAGGGCGTCGGATATCGCCTGGTACGTCAAGTTGCTCACGATGTCAACGCACTCACTAACAAGCTTGCAGACAGCCCCCGTTATCCCCAGCACGGCGGCCCCGTCGAAGACCCCAGCATGGTGCAGTACAAGACCACCAGCATCAAGCGCACAAACGACTTCCTCAAGACTGCTCGTATCTCGCCACAACCCCCACTTCTCATCGACACCGCCGAGGAGCACGGTTACTCCACGTTTCTGGATGAAGATGAACCCAGCCCCCGCAAGTCTTTCGCGTCTAACATCTTCGACGACGACAGTTCGCTGAGTCAAGGCATCCGCGAGTATGTCACTAGCAAGATCGCCGAAGCACTCGTCGAGCACAACCGGGAGCGCCAAGGCGATGCCAATGATATGGTCAACAACGTAGGCCCGCTCAACCTCATCATCAAGATCGACGCGGCCGGTCTCGCTAAAGCGAATACCTCTAAGCGATTGATCGGGGACGATGGAAAGATCGGCGACTTCCCGGAGCGCCTCACCATCGGTCCCTTTGAGATCTCGAATGCGCAGCTTGAACGAGACATCCAGTTCGGTGTCATGGCCATCTATGCGATCGCCTTTCTTAGCGCATCTCTTCTAGGACCGAAGATACTCGTTCTTACTCTCTGGAAATCGGCAATCCTTATGGGGGTGTACGCCGCTTTGTTGCGTCAACTGTGCTGGACTGAGAAGGTCGAGCGCGACGTGCTGCTGGCGCCTGTGTGCTTCGTGGTTAATGTGGCTACAGGCATGGGCGAGCAGCTGCTTGAACAGTTGCGCATGATGATGGTTGCGGTACTCGCTGAGGCTATCGAACGCGTCGCTCAGAGCTGTGATGTGCAGGTACATAGCGGGTAGATGACTCAAACAGTATGGTGATAGTTCATGTATCGTTTGGTAGCGGTCGTAAGCATACCTAGGTTCCCGCAGCTGAGGCTGACTGCTACATGAATGGAGATACATTGTGATTCTTGATATTCGCACAGATGATGATGTGGTGAGGACGCCGGGGAAGTCGCTGGTTGGACGCAGCAGTAGATAACGCCTTCATACACGTCAAAGCTCGACATACGACCAGGCGCTGCTTCGTTGCGCAGAACATCCCCACTCACATATCTGCGACCTGACGCCCAGCCGTCTTCGCATTAGCTTTCCGCTGTGACGTGCTTTCTTCTTCGTGAACCAGCGTATCAACAATCCCTTCAAACCAACACGATAGACTGTTCACGAATGGTGCTGTCTCGAACGGCTTTCCCATGCATATATCCGTCAAAATAACAGTCGCCGATGAACTCGTAATAGCCTTCAGGCGGCTTTTCCGACTGACAGCCACCACTGAAGTCGATGTCGCCATCGCTCCGGACTCCATCCGTATCTACGGGTTTGAGTGCTTCTCTTTCTTCCTTGTTCAAATGCGCGGACCGCAGGATGAACGGTACATTTCCACCGTTCAGAACCCATACCTCGTCCTCGACACAAACATGCGGATAGCAGAGGCCCTGACCGTTGCTCCCGGCCTTGAAGTAGCGACGACCATGGGTTGTGACGGAGATCATATGGCATACTGTGGCATTGATCGTATCCTCTTTTCCTTCCACCCATGCAAGAAAGTGTTCGAGCCAACGCATCGTTGCGGGACTAGTTGCAGGACTAGATTTGAGATCCCACGCGTGGCCTTCTGTATCGACTGGAATGTCCAATCCACCAAGCATCGTTCGCCAAAACGCTATGACGGAATTCGGCTGTCTATAGAGATTGCTCTGCTCACTAATGTGAGCTAACGTGTCAAACGCACTCGAGTTGAGCGCGGATAACATCCATCTCTTGAAGACGTCTTTATGCCTGATGTCAGCATCGTCTGTCGGGGATATCAAGGTCTGTACGTCTTCGGATACAAAGGTAACTTTGCCAACACGCCTGCCTATGACCCCAAGCCCCACTCGTCTTACCACCTCACCCGACGACCACGGGGAAGCTTCTAGCAATACAGGTCTCGATCTGTGGTCGTCGGAAGCATTGAAGACGCCATTATCAAATAGCTTGTGCCGATCGAAAACTACATCGACGTCCATGCGATCGCAAGGCGCATCAAAGTCACGCACCCAGGACGCCAGTTTGTCCGGCGCTGGACCATATTGAGGGCCTGTCAGACTCTTCAAGAACCCTTGTTCGCGACAAAGCATTGTGTAAGTAGCCTGAAGAAAAACCTCCTCTTTAGACAAAGTGTAATCCGGGGTGAAGAATCGGTCATCAATGACGCCCAACAGTCCGTAGACCTTGTCGCGCGGGTCCTCACACGCCCGAAACCCGTATACTACATGTTGTGTTTGTAGGTCATGTCGCTTGAGCTTGCCGCTGCCATCGCGTTTTCGATCATAATGAAGGCTCCGAGTCATGGTGCAGAAGTCCTTTAGAGCATTGATCATTGTAATAGGCATTTGCGATACGGGGGGATTGCAACATGGCTTCCAGGCATGTTGGTCGTAGTATAACCCGCAATCGGTGACCGTCTGAAGCGATGTCGTCCATGTGTCAAAGTACAGAGTGCCTGTCCCTGGTAGGATAGCTTCTTGTACGGTCCACAAGCGTGTCCACCAAGGGCTTCGATAGACAGCGAGGAAGCCTTCGCACATCAGATTGAAGTCGTCATCGGGCTTGTAGACAGCTGTATCGGGAGCTCGGGGTTCAAAGCATTGCCATTCATAGACATGGCGACCACTCGCTAGCAAACGTACGATTTCGAATGGATCCGCTCCTTTTGAGTCATCGTTCGCTGCATCGCCAAGGCGGCATCGCGAGGCATCGCAGCCTAGCCAAATCCGTACTTGGGCGCATCCGGAATATATCTTGCCCATGAGGGCCACTTGGTGCGACCTCTCCGTCGGATCCAGCTGATTGATGCAAACAGCGTCTACCCACAGCGGAAGGTCGTTGTCCGGATCGCGCATGTGCCGAAGCGCCTGCTCGAGATTGGAGGTAACTTTGACCGCGACGCCATCGACCTCGATCAGCTTCGTGGCGTTTGGGTCGCCCCAGGTGTATGACAGAGCGTCATAATGCGGCTTCTCATGGAAGCTGACTGGACGCAAGGTACACCGGATAGGCTCCCACGCGTTGCCAGCGTGCAGGCTGAGAATACGCAGGTACTCGCTCGCATGCGGTAAAGGTTCGTAATCAAGGTGGGTGTGGATTGGCTTGGCTTTGTTGGCGTGCACACCCATCGTGGGTGGTTGTTGCCTCAAGCCTCATCAAAGTGGGAGCTTGGAGCAGCTTACCGAGTGCTTCCTTCCGGCGACACCCTGCGTGCCTGCCAGGTTAACACACAATAGCGAAGCGAGCCAGATCTGAGCCCCCAATTATCTCAGTCATTTCAGGCTCGAATAAACCTTATCCGCTCACCCTTTGCTTAATCTTCCCCTACCATGAAAAGTAAACGTCGAGATGCACGCACAAGCATCCTCTTCCACAATCTTATCAACCCCCTCGCAGTCGCCATGCCGATCCCATTGTACCCCGCCTCGCCTAACAATTGTCTTCTTCCAAAAGCAGTATCTTTCCCAGTGCGCACGCATCAGCCGACTCCCGTACCCCAGCGACAACAATGCGCAAGGCTAGTTCCCACGATACAGTTCACCCACCTGCAGGCCAATGTGGCGGCCGACTAGCTTAATAAGACGGCAAGTCCGTCCCGCACCACCCGGCAAGCGTACCCCTTGCCTCATCAGGTCGCGACTGTTTAGCCCACGCCAATAGACCGTGCGACAACCTTGGGAGGAGGCGCCCGGCTTTGACATGTGCGACTGCGACGCGGAAGCGATAAGAACAACATCAACAACTGCATCGACTTAAGGCGCGCGTCTGGACGTTGGGAATCCGGACATTCCGAGCTATTCTTTTCGCAGCCGCTTGCAGCGTTATCATTAGCCCAGCCCATATTCATCAAGGGACGGACACCCTCTTGTGCGCTGCGCGCCATCCATTGACTGAAGCCGTCCGCATCACCCAAAATGGCCGACTTATCGCACACCCGAACGAACGACTCGATGATTAAGAACGCCGCGCATCTTTCGGAAGACGTCCCACCCGAAGACGACGAAGTAGGCGGGTCCTCTAACATGAGAATAGTCGACTTTGGAAGAGATGGTACCGCCGACCCCGAGAATGGGGTGGTGGATGAAGCGCATCAACAACAGCCGCCAAGGCGCAAGAAGAGGAGGTTTGGACTGGGAAAGAAGAAAGAGAGTTATAGCCATACGCATTACAAGGTTTACAAGAGACGGTGGCTTGGGCTGGGCCAGTTGGTGTTGTTGAATATTGTTGTTAGTTGGGATGTGAGTTGACACCTGACACCGTCGCCCGTTCCGTTGTTTGCTTCTGCGGGTGTTGCGAAAGGGTCTTCCGTTCCGAACTTTGAGCATTGCCCTGCGTTGTCGATCGGTGGTGTTGGGACAACATCGCATGAACTTCATTTTTGAGCACCAAGAAACTGCGAAGCATGAACATAGCTGACACACAACATAGTGGCTAACATTCGCCCCCATTTCAACAACCTCATCGCAATACTTCCACGTCCCGGAATCTTCCATCAACTGGCTGTCAACCGCCTTCCTCTTTTCCTTCGCTGCAACATGTCCATTAACGATTTACCTGCTCCACCGCGGCCCCAAACCATCCATCATCGCCGCATCCATCTTGCTGCTGATCGGCAACTGGATCCGGTATACGGGTACCAGGACCAACATCTTCCCTGTAGTCATGGTGGGCCAGATCTTGACGGGGTTGGCGCAGCCATTTGTGCTGGCGGCGCCGACTCGGTATAGTGACATGTGGTTTACTGAGGGAGGGAGGATTGGAGCAACGGCGGTGGCTAGTCTGGCGAATCCTTTTGGAGCGGCGGTATGTAACGACGCGGGAAGAAGAGAGGAAATGATGGCTAACAAGACATAGCTTGCGTCTCTCATCAACCCGTTCTTGGGCGACGTACCGACTACGGTGTTGATAGTATCAATCATCGCAACCGTAGCATGCCTCCCGGTACGTCTTCCTATACCCTACAGTCGGCCTACATCACATATCTGACTGACACCTGATAGTCATTCTTCATCCCCGCAGCACCACCAACACCCCCCTCGGCTTCCTCTGTCATATCCAAAACGTCAATCATGACCTCCCTCAAGCACATGCTACGCACCCCTGCCTTCTACCTCGTCTTCTTCACATTCAGCGTCTACACGGGCTTCTTCAACGCCTTCACTTCGCTGCTGAACCAGATCCTGTATCCATACGGCTACACCGAAGACGAAGCGGGTATCTGTGGCGCGGTGCTCATCGTTGTTGGACTGGTAGCTTGCGCTATTACCTCACCCATCATAGACCGCACGCACGCCTACTTGCTCGGCATCAAGATCCTATGTCCTGTGCTATCGGCAGCTTATCTAGCGATGATCTGGGCGCCGCAGACGCGGACGATTATCGCGCCGTACGTACTCGGTGCGGTCTTAGGCGCATGTTCGTTTTCGCTGCTTCCGATTGCATTGGAATATCTCGTCGAGATCACTTTCCCAGCTAGTCCAGAGGTGTCTTCAACGATCTGCTGGGTCGGAGGACAAGTCTTCGGCGGCATCTTCATCGTCATCATGAACGAGCTCAAAGACGGAAGACCCGTGGATCTGGACGCCGTACAGGACGCGGGCAGGGATGAGGCTACAGGTGGAAACAGGCCGCCCGGACACATGCTTTGGGCGCTGGTCTTCCAGGCCGTGGTTTGTGCGGTGGTTCTGCCACTGCCGCTTTTGTTGGGTGTGAAGCGACTGGGTCTCGCTAGTAGAGAGGGCAGGCTGAAGAAGGATGTCGATGGC